CAAATTCAATTAAAAAACCAACCAAATCCATAAATTGAGGCTACTTAAGTTACTTCAAAAAACTTGCAAACAACGCTAACCTCATAGAAAGACAAAATAAAATGAAAAAAATTAAAAGATAAATTCTCAACTATCTTAATATTAACATATGAAATCAACAAAAAAAAATCATGACAAAAAAAACTAAAAGAAAATTAAAAATAAAACATGTATAAAAAAACCAATGTAGAGACACGCTATAGCAATTCAAAATATTTTGTGATAAAAATTACAGTATTTTTCCTAATTATTTAGTTTTTCTTATAATTCTCCCGCGCACAGTGAAGAATGGAAGGACTTCAATCCATTTTCTTGTATTTAATCTTAATTTATATTTACTCTTAATTTAAGAAGTTGGATGTTGATTTATTTGGCAAGTTAGATCACTACTGAAAAATTGATCACTACAAATGAAAATACCAACGGAATATTTTTTTTTGTAGATTGCAATGAATTTTACCAATAGATTATTTCTTCGCTATATCCTTCAGTAAATGCTGATGAAAATATTATATTGGTATACATTGAGGGGATTATAATGGGAAACGAAGGAATTAAAGAAATCTAAAAAGTACGATAATGTATCATTTATATAAACAACATCACCGACAGTATTAATCCATGGGTATATTATAGATAGCTTTAATACTTTTCACTTATCAATTACACTGTTTTTCTTGCCAATGACATATAAGATCATCGAGGGATTAAGTCCGTCAATATTTTCCTCAGAGCTTTAGAACTATTCACTTTTCAATTGTACTTTTAATTATTATTTTTTATAGATAAAATTATTAATTGATTGAAAAAGTCACCAATGATATTTTAGGTAATTTTGAAAAAATTTTATTAAATTAAAAAATTCAATTAAATATTACAAATGGAATAAAAAAAATAAACTGAAAAGTTGTTAGTGATATTTGGAGGGTTTCTGAAAAAATTATAAATTAAATATTGCAAGTGGGATCATCAACTGAATATTTAAAAATATTAATATTTAATTATTCATAAGTAAAATCATTGGTAAAATAGCTCAATTAAAATATTAGAATCACTAATTTCATAAAAGACACAACTCTTTTTTTTCTTCATTTCTCTTCCCTTTTTGTAAAAAAAAAAAAAAGCCATTGTCCTTCTCTCCCTTTCTCTTCTCTCCTTAACTCCTTCTTTTCTTTTCTCCTTCATGTGCATATATGTATTTCCCACTCTTCCTTTAATTAATACACTTTATGAAAAAAAAAATTTCTCTTTTTAGCTTCACTCGTAATGAAATTAAGGTAAGATTTTTTTCTTTTTCTTTTTTTATATTTTTTTAATTTTACTGTTCTTAATAA